AGAGGCCTGGTGCACAAATTCGTGCACTGGTGGATTCCCAAGGGGGGTGGGGCTGGGATGCAATCGGCCCTCCAGGCGGGCAGTGGGACACCCTTGCCGGCCTGGGATCTGGATCCATCCCACTGACATTCATGCTGGTTGTTGGGAGCCATCTGGCAGCAACTTTTATATCGTTTCTTCCTTGCAGAGCATCTGGGGAGGGGAAGCGGCCGTGGTGCCCGAGGCCAACTTACAGGAGGCCAGCAGCACTGTCAGGATCGTGCGGGAGGCACTGGTCCGTCGGTTCCTGGCCCGTTCTCCAGAGATTGGACCTGCAGGACCACTGAGGAAGGGAGTGGCTGCCTGCCCCCAGGGCTGGTGGGCTGCCGGGACCAGGTGTGGTCACTTAGACTTTTATATATACAGATGATTTTTGCAATGAGAACTACCCAGTCCATGCCTTGTGTTATTCTGCCTTCCTTTCCCAGACCTAAATACAAGACCTGAAACCATAAAACTCTTACTAAAAAAAAAAAAACATAGGTAGAAAGCTTTACATCATTACATTTAGCAATGATTTCTTGGATATGACACCAATAGTACAGTCAACAAAGAGTAAATGATATTACATGAAACTTAAAAAAACTTCTGTGCAACAAATGAAATAATCAACAAAATGAAAAGCAACCTATGAAATGGGGAAAATATTTACTAATCCTAGATAATAAAAGCCTAATATGCTAAGTGTCCGACCATTCGTTCCACCATTCGACCAGTCATGACATTCACTGACCACCTGGGGGCAGACACTCCTCTAGGTTAGCTTGCTGCTGGGGTTTAGCCGATTGGGACTGGGCAAGATGGGCCAGACAGGTGATTGAGCCCTCCTGCAGTCCCTCCGCAGCCCCATCATGCACCGTTGGGGTCCCTCGGCCTGGCCTGCGCCCTCTTGCAATCTGGGACCCCTCGTGGGATGTCAGAGAGCCAGTTTCAGCCCCATCCCCACAGGCCAGGCCACGGGACCCCACCAGTGCACGAATCAGTACACTGGGCCTCTAAGTATTCTTATAATGGACTTTTATCAGTGGGGCATGTTTTTGAGGTTAACTAATTTAAAATCTGATTATAAAAGTCGTAAGAGCTCAGCCCAGCTGAGCGTCCACCCATGAACCAAGAGGTCTGTGGTTCAATTCCCTATCAGGGCATATGCCTGGGTGGTGGGCTCAATCCATAGTAGGGGGTGTACAGGAGGCAGCCAGTCAATGATGTTTCTTTCTCATCAATATTTCTATCTCTCTATTCTTCTCTCCCTTCCTCTCTAAAAATCAATAAAAACACTTTTTTAAAAAAAAAAGTAGGAAGAGCTCATTAAACAGAATAAAAAAGAAAATAAAGTTCACATACATTATTGACCAGAAATAGTACTGTTATAATTTTGATGTATATCTTCCCAGACATTTTTCGTATTAAATAAAAACAGCATTTTTTTCTATGATGCTGTTATGTAGTTCCTCTTTTTTTCTTTTCTTGCCTTTTTTACTTACAGTGTAATATGGACATTTTCCACATCAACATATATTGTTCTGTGTCACCAATTTATTTGGCTGCATTACTTTTTAAATGAAAAGCAGAACAGAACAATTAAAACTCTAGAAAGACACAGTTTTTATTGAGATGCTGCGGTAGGAAATGAATTAATATCTTTCGATTAGAAAACTCATGAGTAAGCAATATCTAATTACATATTAAATGCACAATGGAGGGGTCCGTCCTTACAGGAAGATTGCAGTGAAACCTGTAAAGGGAGTAATTTTCCTGTAACTCAGCTGGATTTTTCACTTCAGGTTTTCTTAACTTATCCAAGAAAATCACCTACAAATGTTGCATTGATGTCTTAGCTTTCTGGCTGTCATTCTGAAAAATAACAAATGATAATAATAGCTACCACTTGTTGAACACCTACTCTACCTGGCTCTGGCTGACAGCTTTGTAACTGAGTTGACTATCCTTGCAAGTGAGGTCCCTTTACTCACGAAGAAACCAAGTTCAGAAGGTGAAGTGACCTGCCCAGGATGAAGTAGCGATGCTGGCTGTGTGTGTACCTCGGGTTGCCTGCGCCCTCCAGGCTCCCTGAGTGCAGGGTGTACACATGGTGAGTGCTGCCCCAGGACTTTGGACTGCACTGCATTTGCAGTTCCACAGGGTAGGTCTCTGGCCAGTTCCTCCTCGGCGTGTCATCAGAGCATCTGCTGTCTTTAGGAGCATATTTTGGACCATAAGTCATACACATTTTAAAGTGCCTGACTAGTTTTGGGGGAAATAGAGTTGCTGCCAATCCAAACTTAAAAAAAAAAATCAACGATTACCTTCTACAGGTTTATTTATTTTTCTGTATTTTAATAGTTAATGTATTTTAGTAGTTAATGTATGTTGAGGTATGCTTTTGGGGCAAAAGGGGGGAAAAGTTGTGGTTTTAGTAAAATTATAATAAGGAAGAAGACCCAACATATAGTCATACAAAAAAGTGTAATTCCTTTTCGTCTTTGGGGCACTGTTTTGTTATTTTGTTTACTTGTATATTCAGCAGTCATACACATCTCAATTCTGAGATGACTTTCAGAATTGCCCAGAGAGGCATTGGCTGGCCACTGGATGTGGGCTTCCCCCAGGCCGGGCCATGCCGGTGGGCGAGGCAGCTCCCTTCTGCTGTGGGCCATCAGCTGGCAGTTCTGGAAGCGGAGGGAAATGAGGGCCTCACTCCTGAAGGCACAGGTCTGCCACACCACCTGTAGGGTTGCTGTGGGGATTGAATGCCATACTGCATGTAAAGCTGCTAGCATCTGTCTTGCACAATATAGATTCTCATTAAATGGCAACTTCCTTGTTGTCAGCTTATATTTGTTGAGTTCCTCTGTGTAAAGAAGGCACCTAGATTGCTGTTTGGAATAGAAAGATGAGTATGACTTTTACCTGGCCGTTAATATATTATAATCTGGAAAGGGCATTCGTTCATTCATTCATTCAACAAATATTCATTGAGCACCTGCTGTAGACTGTGCACTGTTTTTGCCACTGGGAATAGAGCAAAAATAAGACGAGAAAAATCTCTGCTTTCATGAAGCTTATGTTCTAATGGGAAATTTACAGTAAATAAGGAAACATACATAAAAATGTGTATGTCAGGTAGTGATAAGTAAACTCATAAGTATAAGACATACTCCTAAGTAATTAGAGAATTCATCAGAGGAACTTTAAGAATTCAGAGGACGGAGCGGTTAGTCGGGTGAGGCTGAGAGGAGACTTCCTGGGGAGGTGGCATTGAGGTGGGCCTCGTCGATTTCCATGTGGAAACAGGAAGGAGAAGAGCCAGGAACAGGACAGAGGCTCCGGGTGGGAAAGCTCAGTGTAGCTGGGAGGAGTAGAAGCAGGTAGTGGGTGTGCCCTGTCTTACCCCTTGGCCCTTCCTGATCCACCCCCATCTTTGCTCTCTGCTCTTGTCGGGATAAGTTTACTAGCTGTCCGACTTCTGACTGGGTTTAGCCAATGGGAGGCTCCAGCAGGAGATGGGAGGGCTGGGAGAGGTGTCGGTTTGGGACCTGGTAGAGGCTGTGCCTCCACAGTCTGTGGCTCCGGTTAGGCGTCTGCCCACCAGCCCTCCAGTGTTGCCCTGTGTATGTGAAGCATCCTCGGGTCAGCATGGGTTTAGCCAATAGGCTGGGCCCAGCCAGCAGTGGACGGGATTGCCTTGCAGCCCCAACCCTGAGAGTCGGGGCCACCGGGGCCTCCTCCTCACGGGCGGACTTGGGACCATGCATCTCTGCCTTTATTTAAGGTGGTTGGTAGGCGATATACTTCTCCTTCTCTCCCTTTCTAGCTCAGCATTCCAACAGGCAAAAGTCAAGAATTTAGGCTCCAACAGATTTTCTCTTAGTGATGTGGCAGTTGATGCTTTTCTTCCAAATAAGCCCTGGAAGGTGAGAGGTGGTAAATGGCTCCTGTGGCGTTTTTGACTCTCAATCTGAACTGGAATGGAATCTGTAACCCATTATCAGATTCTGAATCAAGCGGCCTTGTCTCTCTCCTGTTTTTGTTTCAGTGGAAATGTGTGTTTTTATTCTGTCAGTGGGCAGTTTACATACCTAATATACCTAATATTAAGAGGGAATTATATAATGAATACTTGATGTGAAGGGACTATTTAAATACTTCAACTCCAAGGGATTCCATTAAAGTAATAAGGAAATTACATTTAATTTTAAATGGTAGAGAGATTTTTTTTAATGTTATTGCTATTAAGCATGTATTACACACACTCAGCCCACTTTTTGCAAATGAATTCCCAGAGTACAATTCATCTTTCTATAGTTGGAAAGGAAATATTCCTCCAAAATATGTAGCTTGATGTCGTCTTCTTAACTGCGGAGAGAAGCATACTTTTCCAAAGAATAGAATGTGATGGTTGATTGGAAACTTTTGGAGTTACAGGCTTTTAGTTCTACCTCTTGAAATAAGAAAATATATATAAATGGGTCCCCAGATGAAGGCGTGGTGGGGTGCTTTAGAGTCCTAATTGACTCCAGACATAGAGGCCGTGATTTGTAAGCAAGCAGTGACAAGAGGAAGTTAAATCAAAATTAAATTAAGGGAAGGGAAAAAAAGATATCAAGGAGAGGTGATGAATTTTCTGAAAGCATCTAAATACCTATCTGTGGGCAGGTGGCACATGTGTGACTATATCTCAAAAGATGAAATCTGGAAGCATTTCTGCACTAAAAAAGACCTCGCTCATATCCATCACTCGGTACAGTTCAGTCAGCACAGGCATATTCGCTTCTATACTTTTCCATGACTTAACTGTCAGCAAAAATCAGTATCTCCCACGAGACACAGGAGGTGATGTTTTGGGAGACTGGTTTTTCTGTTTATGTTTTGGCATTCTGTTGTAGGTCCAGCTCGTGGAAATAAAACCCTAGGAATCGGAGCCCCCCAGACACCCGGCCACACTGAGCGCCACTTGTGCCGTTTTTGTCTCCCTTTCCCAGACCCAGGAGGACAGGGACTGCTCCACACCCCGGCACAGCGCAGAGCAGAGTGAGCACACACAGTGAAGTGAGTGGAGTGAATAAGCGCCCGTGCCTCCTCTTCCTCACCTCCCCCACTGGGACCATGTGGGTTCAGACCCTCGCCATCTTGAGCCCGAGCTTAATGACCCCGGAGCCACCTCCACAGCCAGGCCAGGCCACTGTGCAGAAATGCGCTTTCCTCCTGGTGCTCAAAAGCAAATGCGTTCAGTACTGCTCATTCCCCACATGATGGACGTTTGGCTGGTGTTCAAAGGTCTTTATTCTTAGCCGTATAAAGACCTACCCACTTTTCCATGTTACATCCCACACCTCCCCGGATCCTCCCGCCACCTTCAAGCCCCTCTGTCCGGAGCCTCCTCTGCTTCCTTGCCTCCTCCTGTGTCTCCTGCTGTGTCACTTGCTTGGATGCCCGGCTTTCCTATACTTACTCACATGCTACCATCTTTAAAGGTACAGTGTGTCCTATACTGTCTCCCGAATTCTAATCATTTGCTGCTAGCATTACTCATTAAGCAAGGGACGGTGTGCGGCTGTGACAGCCTTCACATTGTGGTTTTGTGTTGCTGTTTAATGATTGCATTGTTGCTTGACTTTCAGAATGCTGTTATGATGTCCCCCAAACTACATTGTTCCCTTTTGAGCATGGGGCTGGGAAAGGAGAGGGCAGGACCCTGGCTTGATGCTCGTTTGTATTTTCCTCAGTGGCTCTTGGAGCTAGTGTGGCGGCCTTTAGATACACTGTCACCACATCCTGCGCATTTCTGCATTTCCAGTGCCTAGCGCCGTGCCCGCCCATAGCAGGCATTCAGTGCATGGTCTGTGAATACATGAATAAAGGACATTCTCAAGCATTTGTTTTCGAGTTTGACTAAAGAATCAACATAGGGGATTTTACATCTTCTAAAAGCAATAAAAACCCAGGTTTTTCTCTGAGCTTTTTTCCTCCTTAAGAGTTCTCCCTAAAGCCCTTCTTCCTTTTGCCTGCCTTCGCTTCATACCTAAATGGAAATCAATTTCCTCTAATAGTTTTCCCTGTGAAATTGGAGAACAGCTGTTTAGTCACCTCCTTATTCATAACCTTTCAACAAGTTAAATAGCCTCTAGGACTTGCTTTCTCCAGATTCAATTATCCCCAAACCCTTTTCTTTGTCTTCATAAAGGCTTTTTTTTTTTTTAAGAATTCATTATTTCTTTTTCTAGTTCTTTATAAAACTTATTTTTTTCATCAGTGTACCACAGGGTACCCCATGAGGGCCTGAAGAGTACTGTCTGGATGAAAGGCATCTGAGTCTCGTTCTCAATATTTGTGTTTTGGACTACCCTGTTGACTTTCTGAAAAATTTTCACTACCTGTCAGATGTAACTTGTCCGCTCTCACCTGCTCCTTGTGTGTGTGTGTGTGTGTGTTTTAAATGTGTAGCTTGATATTCTTCCCACGAACACTAACATGCTGTATCAGGAGTCTTCCAGTTACAGTTACAGAGAACCCAGTGTAAATTGCTTCAGTGATCAAGGGAATGCATTGCTTTATACATAACACTGCAAAGTCTAGTGGTATGACTTAACCTCCGGATGGCTGGTTCCTGTGGACTCCAAGCGTCTCCAGAGGCCCCTGTTCTGCAGTCTCGTTAGCGGAAGAGCTGCAGCTCTGCGGGCCTGCTTTCCCACAGGGCCCCACCCAGAGGGGAGAGGCTCTGCTCTCCGGGTTCCCACCAGAACCTCGGACTCGCTCATTCTCACCGGCTCCCACGGCAGCGTGTGCCTGTCCTGAAATCCACCGGTCTCAGCGGGGAAGGGTACACCGCTTGGCTTACTGAGGACCATACCCATGGGGAGACTGGGGAGCTGCTCCTGAAGGAGCGAGCGGTGGGTGTGGGTGGCCAACAGTAGGTGTGCATTGCTCTCTAAATCAGCGGTCGCCAGCCTTTCGGACCTCGCGGACCACCAGTGGTCCACAGCCCACCAGTTGGCGACCACTGCTCTAAATTGTGCCCTCACTCCGCCTTAGGTTATTAACATCGCTTTGAACTGGGGCATTTCTGAGAATGAATTTTCATTCCCTTACTCACTCTTTATTGAGCACCCAGCATAGGCCAGGCATGCAACCGGGTGTTGGTGCACAAACACAAATGCGATGATCCCTGACCAGGAGGAGCTCAGGGTCCAGTGGAAAGAAAGACTAATAGGCACATAATCACAGCAGGAGGTAGTAAGTGCTGCTGTCAGTGTGTCTGGATCCAGAGGGAGAAGTGAAGAACTCAGTGGAGGGGCTTCACAGGAGGGCCTCAGAGGACAGGTGAGTTTTGAGCTGAGCCTTGAAGGGGTGAAAGGGACTTTCTAGAATGGGAGAGAAGGGCCTTCTCCT